TTGAAGGGCTTCCTAATATTCTGCTTCAACTGGAGCTCAGTTAAATTTCCTCACAATCCAAACACAAATTGTTGAATGTTTTAAAGAAATAAGCAACAGAAAAATAAGAATTTTTCAGTTCCTTGTCTCTCTTACTCCTGCAAGAAATAAGTGACTATATAATGATAAACTCTGTGATAGTAGTTTTTTTATTTAAAGGGTTTAGAAGTTAAATATAACTCCCATAAAAACCCAGAATGAACCCATGATAATTGTTTATTTAACTGATCAACGAGGAAACCAGCAAGATGATAAAAGAGTATTTAATTAACTATTTATAGTCAATGAAGAAAGAATTTGGAATAGAAATGCTAGATTAGATACAAAACTCGTTAATGTCCTCAAGGGCACTGGAACTGTAATGCTTCAGATTATTTTTTTCTACCAGACAGAAATCATCCACATCTCCTCTGGACAAAAATCTACAGGTTACAAGTAACTCTGGGCCCAATCAAGAGTAAATAGAAAATGAAAGAAAGGCTCACACCTTGAGAATCAAATAGTCCTTGGGGGGAGGTGGGGAGGCAGTCTGTTAGATGATGATGATGTTCCAGTAGGATATTAAAGGGATATTCAGTCTTACTTTTGAGTTATTTCTAAATGTTGGATACTTTGACTTAACGTAAGATACAAATTTCTATATTGGCAGCTGTGGCTTTCAACTTTCCAAACATAATTTTCTCTTAATATTTAATCTGTTTTTATCATCCTTTTTTTTTCTTTTTTTGTCTATTTTCAATCAGGAATGAAAATGACCAACATGAAATTTTAGAACTGCAGTGATGCTCCATTCTACAAACTAAAGTATTAATACTCACTTTGATGAGTACTAAAACATTTATAAGTAATTTCTGTTTTTATATCAGAACAAAAGAATTCACGTATCACCTCTGCTTTGAGTTTATGGCCGCAACAAAGTTAATTGATCCAAATTGCAGTATCAAATGTTTTGTGAATTTTGGGCAACTTACTGACTCTCTGAGTCTCTGCTTCCTCCTCTGTTAACAATTAGCCTCACTCCACTCTCATGTGCCAGAAGAACTAACATATCTGTTTAGAAGAAGTACAGCCAGAATGCTCCTTGGAAGCCAGGATGGTGAGATATTGTCTCGTATACTTTGGACTTAGCAGGAGGGACCAGTCCCTGGAAAAGGACATAATATGCTTGATAAAATAGAGGCTCAGCAAAAAAGAGGAAGACCATCAATGAGATGGATTCACACGGTGGCTATAACAACGGGCTAAAACATGGCAACAATTATGAGAATGACACAGGCCTGGGCAGTGTTCCATTCTGTTGTACATAGGGTCTCTATGAGTGAGAACCGGCTAGAAGGCACCTAACAACATCAACTATTCACTTAGCTTTTCATTAGGCTCTTTAAAAGTTAAACAACGTTTTTGACAACAATTGTTTTTCTTTTTTTTTTTTTTTTTAATAACAACCTGTTCACCCCATTACATACTAAATATGCTATGTGATATTTCAATATACTTTGTTTCAGGCAGAGACATACCCTCCAATGTACTCAACACAAGTTTTTAGTCCAAGAAAAATATCAAATAAAATAAATGTAAATTGTGCTCCATATTTGGATGAACTCTGAAGACTCTGCAGTCTGTTTTGGGCATGTGCTATTACCATTTGTTTTGAACACTCTCATGTTTAGCCTTTAATTTACCTAATGGTGCTTTTCTGTTATATACTTATTATTAAATGCACTTTGCATGCAGTAAGTCCATAAGACTCCAAAAACATGATAAATTTGTTTTTAAAAATGGTCCGAAACTGTGAATATAGTAAAAACCACTGAATTATACACTTTAAATGGGTGAATTATATCTCAATAAAGCTGATTTTTTAAGAAAATGAAAGTTTTATGCTATTAAAATTTATGTACACACTATTTACTATCAAATTGCTTATTACATATATAAACTTGCTCAACTGATGTATTTTTCTATCTGTAAAAATAATTTGGGTATCTTGGGCTGTGAAAGCATCATTTTTCCAATTAAAATTAATGCAATTTTTTTTTCCATGTAATGTCTTTTCACTTAGCAGAAGGTTTCCAAGGATCAATTAAAGCTGGTAAGCTAGGGGTTTAATTATGTGAAACTTAAATTTTTAAGGGGGCGAGACCTGGCAGAGATGGAGATAGTGGGGATAGTGTCTGTAGAATTGCTGATTTAATTTGCACTGAATGGCAAGGATGAAGTATATTATCCCCACTGAGAGAGATTGAAGGCCTGCAAAATGGTCGGGGGTCAGGACTATGGATAGCATTGGAAGGGTAGAGAGGCCACTGAAAGACAGAAAAACCAGGAATGGTAATCAATAGAAAAGAATATCCTAAGGCAATGTCAAAAGTATTACATAGTCAGATACTTAAAATCTGAGTATTTAGAATCTAATGTTTTGAAGAAAACAAATGAGAAAAATGTATTATCTTTTAGTTATTTCCCGTAACTTAAGAGAATAATAAGTGCCTGGGTCCCCAATCATCAAGTCCTAATTCTGAACTTCACTTTTTTTCCCCTTGGTAAAGGATGAAGTAATTTTGAATAATAAAATCCAGCAAGCCAACGGAAATTTTAACAAGTTTTTATTTTTTCGTATTACATCTGATCCTAGGCAAGAGTAAAGAAAAGAGTGTGAGCCAAAAGAAAATAAAGTTATTTAAGTATTTGATTTTCTGGGTGGAATGACTTTAAGCTCTCCCAGGGTCCCGGCATCTTGTTTTCTGTTTTTCAAAAGTTTTCTTAAGAAGGATTTTCCTACATTTTAAGGCAACTTCATTAATTCCTTTATAGATACTTCCAACAAATGGCAGGATAAATCATCTTGGAAAACATGAATACTTGTAGAAATAAAGACTGTTTCCAGACCATCAAACTTAATTTCCTCTTAATATTCATACACCTGCAGCCCAAATTCTCCAAGTATTTTGCCAGATATTATTTATAAACTACAAATAGGGCAATTATTTTTTCTGCTTCATGAGATCACTTAAAGAAAAATTTTTTTAGGGTTCATGATGTCACCATTCTTTGTAGACACAATGGGGCAACAAATGTTCCTCTGATTCAGGTCATCTCCATCCCACAACAGTTTCCCACAGCAGTAATAAACCAGCATGAGAGATCCCAAGATGCAACGTCTGTATCTTTGAAAGCCAAATCAGAACAATAAAAACAAAATAAAGCAGATGGGGCATGGCCAGCTAGGGCTTGTTTTCCCTTCAAGTTCTTCCCAATTCTTGATAATGACAGTTTACTCATTCAAATGTTGTTGGCAGCCCCCAAATGATCTTTTTCAAAGGCTTGTATTTACGAAGTACTTTCATTTGCTCCTCACATCTTTTTCCACTCCCACCCCCAATTAATTATTAAGAGTTTCAAATAGTGCTTGGCTTATATTCAGTATATGTTGACAATAATTATCATCATTATCCAGAGAAGAAAACTATTTTCAATATTTAAATTATTAACCTATCAGTTATTGATATGAGTTATTGATTGCTAGATAAATCAATTGTTAATTGAATTCTATCAGATATATGTTTATTTTCAAGCCCAAAGGTTTGTCTGTCTATCCCAGCTATATAAAATAGCTTAGTGCTCAAAGTGAATGCCATGGGGGAAAAGGGGTAGTGGAGGAACTATTCTAAATTTAAAAAATTCAAGGCGATGCAACAATGAAATGTAATGAAACTTGACTGGCTCTGGCCCTAGATCGGAAATAAAAACTACATATTTTGGGAACAACTGTGGCAATTTAAATATAGGCTTTAGATGACATTATCGGAGTTTTAATTTTATTAGGCGTCATAATGGTACTGTGATTGTAAAGGAAAATGCCTTTAATCTTAGAAGACACGGACTGAAATATCTGGAGCAAAGTATGGTGATATCTACAACTTGTTTTCAAAGAGGTCAGCAAAAAGTAAAGTTATACATATAAATTATAAGAAAAAACAAATGTCATAGAATATTAACTGGTGAATTTAAGTTTACAGGCATTTATTGTGTTTTCCTTTCAATTTTCTATAGATGTAAAATGTTTAAAAGTTGGGAATAAAAAATACCAAATGTTTCACTGAAGACAGTATCACATACTCTTTTCAATATTTTATTGTAATGATATACATTTATACATTGATATTACATATTTACACATTATAAAAAGGTGTAAATCTTTTATTTAGCAAATATTCTCTCCATTTGAAATTAACTACCTTACCTTTAACTTTCAGTGCTAATGTAGAAATGTCATTGTTTTAAATATAAATCAAAACAGGTCAATCAATATCTATTTTAAATTAGAAACAATTAGGGTCATGAGTTAGTATTTCACTTTAATTGAAATTTTCAATAATTTCTTGTTTGTTTTTCTTCTTTGTCTAGAATAGTCTGTTTTAAACTCAAAGTAGCATCTTGAAATCCAGGATTTAAGTCTAAAACCTTCTTGAAATCTTCCAAAGCCTCATCAAAGCATCCTGTACCCAAAACCAAAAAATAGAAAAGAGGAAAAAACAAACAAAATTTGAGTATTTCTATATACTACACGTATATAGGGGGCATATATACTTTTGCTTTTATATTTACTGAGCTTTCAATAACTCTTCATAATTTTTTTTCTTTTAATAATGATGTGAATACCAAAATAATTCTGTATGCCCTTAAAGAATAATATAGCTAAAATAAAATATTTAATATTTATTGCGATTTAACGCATTAGTAGCCCAAATCGTCATAAAATATCAACAAAATTACATCACCTGCAGTAAAATTAAGAAGCTGGCAGTTACTTTTCTTCTTAACCCTCTAAATGAAATGAAATAGTAACTAAGTCTTTTTAATTCAAGAATCTAAAATCCCTTCGCTGGATACCGTCTCATGTGTCTTCAAAGATGTTAACTCAGAAAAGTTTCACAGGTGATCGTCTGCATTACCCTCATTTCTCAGTTGGGGACGCACAGGCACAAAGTAATGGGGTCACGCTTACCCCAGCGCCCAGGTCCAATTCCCACTCAGTGCTTGCTGTGGTCTCTAATGCTTACAGAAAGCCTAAAATAAACTCTGGTACGCTTCCTTTGTTACCAGCTTTAAACCTAAATTTCACATAACTTTAAGCCTTGATGATTACCACATTTGCATTACAACATTTGAAAGCTCAGAAATAAGAGATACAGTGAATGACAAAAGCAGGGAAAGAAAAAAATCTTACCCAGCCTATACAGTATCAATCCTCTGTTGTAATATGGAACTTCAAAATTGGGTTGGACTTGTATGGCAGATGTGTAGTCATCCATGGCTTCATAAAAATCAACCCTGAAGTACTTGATTTGCCCCCTGTTGTTATATGCAGTAGCCAAATCCTCCAGGCTGCATTTGCTTCAAACAAAAAAGTTCACATTAAAAACACTGTTACCAAATTTACCTCTCTTCCTTTCACTGTCTTTGGAAAATTATCAACTTCATAGCCTCTAATATGTAGTAACTACACTCAACACCCAAGCTGAAGAAATAAAGTGCAGAAATGGAATCAATTCTTGTCTAACCATGTTATGTACTTTTGTAGGGTAATACTGTCAATCTGAAAAATACATTAAATTCACTGTGCATTCAAAGCCCCAGCTCACTGCCGACTTGTGTTGCTGAATATATTAAAATGACTCTTCATTTTCTAAACACTCCAGCAAGACAAAAAGATCAGATACATGATGAGCAAGGAGGGAAGACCAGCCCAAAGTTCAAGTTTGCTATGAAAATGTCACAAAGTGAATCATCAGTGTTACTCTCAAATACTTAAGTGACCTAAAGCAATGACATATGAAATCATTTGCCACCAGTAAAGAAACAGAAATTAGCTCTAGGTGAAATTTCAACACACCCATCCCAAGGAATGCTCTCGAGGGATAGTTGACCCCTTCTCTTGGCTGCTATTGCCCTCAAGGCCAGCTTCCTGCTGGGTGGGTGGGCTCTCTTATCTCCCTCGGGACTGTGCACAGAATCAACCCTGCATTTGAGGACCACCAGAGGCTGCCCGGGGAGCTCTACTTGAACAGACCCTCCCTTACAGGGTTGAAGCCCCAGGCAGCTCTGACCAGGCACCTGCTCCACAGGTCACAGCCATAGGGCTGCTCTGCCCCTTTCTTTTGCACAGAACAAACCATCTGCATGGAACATTCTAGATTCCGTTCTGCATCAAATTTGATTCTGTTTTCCTTTTTTATCCCAATGAATTCTCAAATTTGAACCAAACAAAAGATGATATCAGGTTAAGCTCATGTCTCATCTCTTCGTTTTATCCCTTAGTGCAAAGTACAGTCCTCAGAAGATATTTGTGATTGTATCCAGCGTTACTAAAAGTCACTTCCCTTAACATCTTAAACCTTGGGATTAACAAGGATTAACAGCCCAGAGGTCTCCTTCAATTCAAAGTGACTATTCAAAGTGACTATTCAAAGTGACAGCTGCAATTTGGGATAATTTCTGTTCTGTGAATTAAGACTGAAAGACTAGGGTGCAAGGATACTTCTGGATGCCACTGGCACCACTGCTAAGACCTGGAGTGGGCACTTCCTCTATCTATCTCTGTTAGAATACTAGGGGAACTGCTGCCCAGGGAAGAGTTATAAAAATGCAGCTTCAGGACTCCAGTAAGGTTTTAGTCACTAATGTGTAAGCTTCTAAACTTTCTCACAAATTCTGATATTCAGAGGACAAAATGTTTAATTTAGAAAAGCACGATACCAACAAATTTTAAAAATCTACCTTTCACTGAAATTTTGTTTCATCTTTTGAAAGACACAGGCTAACAGTTGAGGATTAAACTGTTTGTAATATTGAGATTTCGCTAATGATGGTATTTTCTATAACGGCATTTAATATAGTTACCTAATTCAAATATGGACGTTTAGCATTTGTTAACTTTAACCAAAAAAAAAAAAAAAAAGGAAATTAGGGAACATCAAAAGAACATTTATAAACCATTCAGAATGAAATGTATTTAAGGATCAAAGTAATGGTCCAAAATGATTCCGTAAGGCAGTGTTTTAAAAATAACTTTAAACTATGAAAGATATATTTAAGGGTGGGGGGGACTATATAATTGACAGAATTCAATTTTAATCCATGAGTTTCCAGAAGAGTTTTAGAAGTGTAAGAAAATAGAAGGGTCCTTTGAGAGATGAGAAAGAAGCTGAGAAAAGGTACTAGCTTATGCAGCAGAGCCAGGACTGGCTGAACCCCATTCTACTAGCTGGCTGCTATGGTGGCATAGTGCCTAAGGTATCTGACTGCTAACCAGGAGGCTGGCGGTTCAAACCTACCAGCCACTCCTTGGAAGGAAGACTGGGCAATCTACTTCCGTAGAGATACTGCCTCAGAAACCCAAGGAGGGGTCACTATGAGTCAGAATTGACTCAATGGCAGGGACTTTGGTTTGGGTTTTTTGGATGCTGTGAGGGACAGATATGTATTTTCTACAAACAGACCCTGTGCTCTTAGGCTGAGATATGCAAAGGAGGGAGAGTAATAGGACTGCAGACCACCAACATGCCTGTTGCTGATGAGTATTTTTGAAGTCTACTGGATGAGTCTATTCTTGAAACTTTCAGCAGGTTAGGTTACTAACACTGCAAAAACACTACTCATCTTTTTTCATCAGTTTCAGTTAAGCCTAACCTAATACAAAACACAAGCTGTCATTCTGTTAAAAAAAGAAAAAGAAATGCAAATTCCTGTGGGGAGAGAGTGACAATGCAGAACACTCAAAACTGTCAAAATGGCTATGTAGTCAATCTCTCTTTCTCTCTGTTACCTTTTCTCATCCTGATCCACCTCATACCCATCAACAAGCACAAGGAAGGAAAAATGTGGAGAAACAAACAAACATTCAGGCATAAACCTAAATGCTTCAGGCAAGCAGGTATTAGCAAGTTAGACTAGTAACATCACAAAAAGAAACAACCAGACATTGCCTGCCTCCTGATGAAAGTACACACCACCACCTACTAAGTAGTGTCAAAGAGAGAAATTGACAGCAGATACCTTGCTTTACTTGGGATTTTCTTACCCAAATACTCTCTGTAAAGAAATTCCTGACCAAAATTAATCCTGCCAATGGTTTTTCTCTCACCCAAAATTGCAAATCCTTTTATTCCTGTTTGTAACCAAGCTTGCTAAATTTGAATTTCAAAAGATAGAATGGAGGGGCAGAGACCATTTTGTGACCTGATACTAGTTGATTTCAGTGAAAGAGGCAAGGCAGGATTCAATAAATCATGTCAAGATTAGCCAATGGCTGACTTCCAATTTTCTCCCTCCTCTTCATGAGGAGGTCTGGTGGCTTAAGGGTTAATGCATTCCGCTGCTAACTGAAAGGTTCCTGGTCTGAATCTACCTGCCAGCGGGTCTGTGGGAGAAAGATAGGCAGTCTGCTTCTGTGAAGATTTGCAGCCTGGGAAAGTCTACAGAGTAGTTCTACTCTGTCCTCCAGGGTCATTATGACATCTTATTGATGGCAGTGGTTTTGGTTTTTTAGGTTCTTTTCATACACTTCATTGTACTCACTAGCTTCTTCAAGCCATTTACTTTTTCTGCTGAGCATAAACCTCTCATGTTCAAATTTCTCTAAGTTCTGATTCTTTTTAACAGTAGCCTTGAAATAATATTAAATCTGAATCTTTAACTACCAATTCACAAACCATACAGGTGACAGAGGACCACATTAAATGACATCATGAGGATGCACTGAGCAAATCCAAAACACTGGAAACTCTCAGGACAAAGGACATGGTCTCTTTAACAAATAAACTGCAAAAAAAAAAAAAAGGGAGGGATGCTTATAGATTACAACAGGCGGGATGCTCATGCTGATTTAAATCAAATGCTAGAAACAAATCTTTTTTTTAATAATGCAAACAACAAAAAACCGCCTGATTGGTTAATGAGTTAACTTCCAATACTGACTAGGTCGTTGATCTTAAGCAATTACCTGGTAATAACTGTACTGTGCTTGTCTTTTTAAGAATATGTAGTTATATTACTACTCAAAAATTCACTGCTATCGAGTCGGATCCAACTCACAGCGACCCCTCCTTGGGTTTTCGAGGCGGTATCACTATGAAAGCAGATACACACTTAGAAATGCATTTGGAAACATCCACGTGTGGGTGAAGTGATGATGCTTAAGCCGATTGACAGACACCTGGCAATTCCTTATACTATTTTCTATATACTTAAATTGTTTCATAATAACAAATGAAGGGGTAAGCTTGGTGTGATGCTGTGGGGTAACGGCAGTGTTCTAGAGGAACTATCTGGCCATGTCACTTTCCAGTAACTGGGTCCTCGATATTCCACCTGTTAAATGACTGGTGGAAGACTTTATCTATTCTAGATTATCTGCTCTCTGGATCTGGGAGTAGGTAACGTCCAAAAGACGGAATGAAAGGCAGTCGGCGCCCAAGGCTGTCCCCGGCCAGCGACCCGCGGCGGAAAAACCGGCAGGAGGCAGCTATCCTCTTGGCTCCCGCACCGCCATCTAAGAGATGGCTTCTAGTGAGTGGAGTCTCTCCCCGGTCTCTCTGCCACCCTCACCCTAGACTTCGCTCAGCCTTTCTGGGAAGATAAACATCTGCCTGCTCCATCATCTGCGTTGACTCAAGTCAAAGAGCTAGCTGATTGTGCCCTCAAGTGTCTGAGCAAACGGGACAGATTACTTACTCCACCCACCCAGGTAGACTTGGCAACGTCCACTTCTCGCGTTCGTTACCTTCCAGAACCTACTCCTACAGGGTCTGCACGGTAGCACTGGCCAATGTACGTGGAGTACAGCGTCTCGGCCTCCGCATATTCGCCTTTCTTGAAATGAGCGTGAGCGAGTGATAGGGTGGTGTGGCTTACTTGCCCCTGCTGCCTTTTCATAGCGGTGCAAAGTCTAGCTTTCAGAGTAGAATGGGAGTTGATTTCTGAGCGATTATAGGTGACACCACAAACCACTTCCGCATCCCGGAACGCCGGATGAATGCGAAACTTCAGAGCACTCGAAGTTTGTGCCTTCTGAGGACCTGTCGTCTCGCGAGACAAATGGTCGGCTGTTGACAGCAGTTCTGGTGCTCCAGAAAAGCTTGGCGTGGGTGGGCGCCAATAGAGGCAATTGTGTTATTATAGTTGGTCCCGCAAGTCTTGTTTTCCAGAACTGCTGACCGATGGTCACAAGCTAGTTTCCAAGCCTATTGCCTGATGTTGCGCAGAGCTTGCCCTTTGCTGCAGCGGATTAGGGGACTGAATGTGCTGCTGAAAGTGGAAGAAACCTTGGTTCGTTTTATGAATGCTAATTGGCCAGCGATTTTATGGTAGCCCCTGCAATTCTAATGTCCACCCTTAGCAAAAGACCGCTTTTCCAGTTTTCTGAATAGGCCAAAGTTATCCTGAGACAGGAGCTTTCTTGTCCCACCGCCCTAGGTACGAATGCAAAGTCTACCATTTACTTGCTCCAAGAGCCTGGATGTAAATGCCTGAACCTTTTTGATCATCGGAATTGTTGAAAGGACTAATCAAATAGTATAGTATATTGTGTCAATAGTCTGATCTAAGGAACTCTAGTGGCTTAGTGCCTAAGGCATTTGACCGCTACCCAGAAGGCTGGCCAGTTCAAAGCCACCAGCCACTCCTGGGAAGGAAGGTTGGGCAATCTACTTCCATAGAGCCAACTCGGAAACCCAAGGAGGGGTTTCTATGAGTCAGGATCCACCGGATGGCAGTGAGTTGAGTTTGGTTTGGTTTGTAGTCTGATCTGTGAACGTTAATTTACCTTTCCTGATTGCTTATGCCAAAGGGAGACCCAGGTAGTAATTTAAGTACAATATGCTTAATTCAAATAACAATTATGTTAAAATTATGTTTAAGAAAGAAATTGACCACACAACTACAAAAAAAAAAAAAAATGTTAAAAACTTGTTAACCTGTATACACCAAATCCCTGGTCCTCTTAGGGTCTCTCAGAAAAGGTGCAAGAGCAGGGAAAGAGACTCCCTTCTGTGGTCCACCTGTGTAGGGTTTATTGCAAGCTGAGGATGGAGCGGGAACACACACATTTAAAAAGTCTCTAGCACAGACCACACTAAGCATAACGTAGCAGCAGTCCATCACTGGAGCAATTTGATGTCTTTGAGGCACTAAAAGTAACTATGGCCATGACAAAACCCGAACCCAGATCACTTACTGACTAGACTCAACCCTCCAATACTACTTGCCTGACAGAAGAAAAGAAGTGTCTGTTTCCAGGTGTACATATTATTTACAACAGTCTCTACTGTTCTACATTCATGATGACAAGCATTCAGTCAAAATTTATGGGACAAACAAAGCAAGAGAAAGAGAGCTCCACAGAACCAGACACAAAGATGTCTGATTAACATGTTAAAGGATTTAGTGGAAACACTGAACAACGTGAATAAACAGAGTTTCAACAGATGTAAACAAAAGAAACAAATGAAAATGCTAGAAATTAAAAGCACAATATCAGAGCTTAAGAACTCAAAAGACTGGACATAACTGAGAAAAGAATCAATGAACTTGAAGATCAGTAGAAATAATTAAAACACAAAGAGAAAAAAATCGGGGGGAAAAAAGAGTACCCAAGAACCATGTAACAATATCAAATAGTCTACTAGATGTGCAATTGGAATCCCAGGAGAGTAAGAGAATAAGGCAGCAGAACTATTTACAGAGAAATTTTCCAATATTAATTAAAGACAGACAGACCATAAATCTAAGAAGTTTAGATAACCCCAAGCAGGATACATGTAACACTCACACCCTAGACAAAAGATAGTTTCACTGCTGAAAACCAAAGATGAGAACATCTTTAAGGCAGACAAGAGAAGGGGATTATAGAGGGAAAAGAATAAGTGATAGCAGATTTCTCATTAGAACCTATCCAAGTCAGGAGACAATAGAATAAAATCTATAAAATACAGCAAGAAAATATATATACAAACCCCATATTCTATATCCAGTGAAAATTCTCAAAAGTGAAGGTGAAAAATACACCTTTTTGAAAACAAGCTGAGATAATTCGTTGCATCTGACTGAGCTTAGTTATTTCAACAAATTGTATCACGTATTCCACTAAGAAAAAGTTCCCTATTTTACATAAACTTTGCCATTCAACAGAAAACATTTTTCAGATGTTTTATGAAGTTAGTATTACCTTGATTTCAAAATCCAACAAGTGGAGTACCAAAAAAAAAAAAGAGAGAGAAATCAAACTCTTTCACAACATATATACAAAAATTCTAGACAAAATATTACCAAAATGAAACCAAAAAACCATAAAAAGTATTACACATCATGGCAGGTTGATTTTATTCCAAGAATGCAAGATTAGTTTGACATCAAAAGGAAAAAGATTATTATAATTCATTATACCAGCAAATTAAAAAAAAATAGCTGTATAAAGAGGTATTTAACAAATTCAGCTCCTAATCTTCATAAAAATTCCTGGTCAACTAGTGCAAAGGGAAATAATTTTTTATTGTTGTAAAAGTACCTAATATTTGTCACTTTAACATTTTCCATGTATACAACTTGGTGACATCAATTACAATTAATCATGTTGTGCAACCATCACTAACATCTGTTGCCAGATTTTCTATCATCATAAAAGAAATTCAATGCTTCGTAAACAATGTCTCTTTTTTCCTCCTTCCTTCCTGCCCCTGGTAACCAGTAATAAACGTTGGTTTTTATACCAAAGCAAGTTTTTAAGTTTCATCCATGTTGTATCAAGATTTCATTTCTATTTATGGCTGAGGAGTATTCCATTGAATTAATATATATATACCGTATTTTATTTATCCATTCATCTGTTGATGAACATATGGGTGGTTTCTACTTTTGGCTATTGATACTAGTACTGCAATGAACATTGGTGTGCATGTATCTGTTTGCATTGATTTTTTCAAGTCTCTTGGGTATGTATCTAGGAGTGGAATTGCTATGTCATGGGGTAATTCTATGTTTAACTTGTTGAAGAACTGCCAAACTGTTTTCCACAGTTTCAAAACAATTCGCAGCAATTGGCTTTCTTATCTTTACTATCTACACGGTACACAATTTCCCATCCTCTTACTTTCATCCAATCTGTTTTCAAAGGGTATCTCTTGAAAACAGGGTCTTATTAGTCCAGTCTGACAATCTCTTGACTTTAAATTGAAGTGTTTTATTCATTTACATTCAATGTAATTACTGATATGGCTGGGTTTAAGTCTGCTATCTTAGTATTTATTGGTCCCATCTGTGTTTTATTCCTTTCTCTTTTCCTGTCTTCTTTCAAGTTAATCACATAATTATTTCATTTTTTCTTAGTTTTCTCTATTTTGTCCTTTAAATAATCTTTACTGAGGTATGATTTACTTTTTTAACTTTAGAGAAATTTCTGAGGAATTGCTATTTCTTGTTATAAAGGCACATGATATAGCAACTTCTTCAGTTCCACTTGTTTTTCTTCTGTTAAAAGGAACAAAAGTAGAAATTAATATCTTATTTTAAAAATTATCAACATGAAATGCATAACTCAAAAGAGTTTTGACAAATGCATAGTCATGTAATCATCACCAAGATCAAGATAGAGAACATTTCTACCACCCTCAAACTGTCCTATGTATCCATCCCTTCAGAGGCAATCCCCTATACTCTTCCTGATTTAAGGTAACCATCAATTAAGAGGGTAAATATCAATCAGTATAATTTTGACTTTTCTAGAATTTCATATAAATAAAATCATACAGAATGTTATCTTTTGTGTTGATGGACATTTTGCTTCTTTCCATTTTTGGCTATTGTGAACAAAATTTTTATGTACATTTGCATGCAAGTTTCTGTGTAATGTGTTTGGGTTTCTCTTGGTTAAGTTCCTCAGAGTGGGAATACTGGTCCTAGTTCTGGTGTTGCAGTAGTACTAACCAAAAGGTCAATGGTCCAAACTCACCAGCTGTTTCATGGGATAAGATGAGGCAGTCTGCTTCTGAAAAAACTAACAGCTTTAGAAACACTATGAAGCAGTTCTACTCTGTCCTATAGGATCACTATAAGTTGGAATCAACTGGATGGCAGTGGAATTGGGTTTTGCAGGCATAATGACTAAGGCTAACCAGAAGGCTGGCAGTTCAAACCCACCAGTCACTCCTCGGAAGGAAGGGTGGGCAATCTACTTCCGTAGTGATACTGCCTTGAAAACCCAAGGAGGGGTCACTATGAGTCAGGTCCAACTCTATGGCAGTGTGTTTGGTTTTTGGTTTATGATAAATGTATGTATGAATTTCTAAGAAACTTTAAAATTTTTCCAAAGTGGGTGCACCATTTTACATTTTTTTTCAGTAATACATGAGAAATTCAGCTGCTTTGCATTTTCATCAACACTTGTCAGTTTCAGCCATTCTAGAGGGTGTGTGGTGTATCTCATTTTCTCTATATACCTATTGCCATCAAGTCAATTGCGACTCATAGTGACCCTAACAGGGCAGAGCAGAACTATATTCTCCTAAAATTTTACTAACTTGAAAAGTTAAATTTTTGTCTAACAAGAAATGATTAGTTAATTAAAATAATAATCCTAAGCCTCCTAAGTTTACTTTTTAAAATACAGAAATCTATTAGGAATTCATAGCACTAGCTATGAACACTTATTTATGGTACAGACATTTCTTTAGTTTCACCTGTTTTTATGTTAAATTCAACTAAAATATAAATTAATGATTTTTATTTTAAAAGTTATTGAAACTTATTTTTATTTTCTCTTTAAACTCTTAGGCATTTTTGAAATTGTATACCATAATATATGTTACCTTTATACTCAGAAAGAAATAAATATTAATTTCCTAAAAAACGTAAAGCAAGAATTGAGAAAACAATCATAAAAT